CGATGTATTAGATAGATCACGTATAAAGAAAAAAAAGGGAGGGGCGGCTTGAAACCCACTTTAATTTGCAGACCACTTGCTCAGCAATAGAGGGACTCTGAGCGACTCAGCACCAGCTGTTGGGGGGAACAGCTCAGTTTGTCATGTGCTGACCTCCCTCTAGACTTGAAGTGAGCTTCCTGCAATAAGCTGCTGTGTGCTCTGGAACCGTGCTCACCAGCAAATCCTCAGAGGCTGTTGAGGGCTGTCTGCTGCTGCAAAAATCCCTGTGGAGGTAAGGGCCAGGGACCAGGGGCTTAGTGTGCCCCTGGCAACACAGCTCTAGGTGGGCGGGGCAGGCCCCCAATGCACCACAGGATGTGGTCAGTGGCTCCCACCAAGTCAGAGCAGCATGCACTCCTGCATCAGCATCCAGCCCGCAGAAACTTTCCAGGAAAGCCCCAGCTGAATTACGGAGGCGCACAGCTCACGGCCCTACACTCCCAGGAAAACTCCCAGTCTCAGTCTGTCCCAATCAGCCGCTTGCATATCAGGCCGAGCAGCCCGACAGCCAATTGCCACCCAGGCAACTCTACATGCACAGTGTGGAGAGTGGGGACCTAAGGCGAGTCGCGCACTCCCGGGTCTCAATAAGCAGCCTGTTGAAAGCGGAGCACGCCTGTCAGGCGTTTCTCTGGCTACTCAGCACAAGCAGTGCGGAGGGTGGGGAACCAAGGCCGCATGCGCACGCATGCACACACGCACTCCTACACCAATTCCAGCAGACCAATGCGGTCCCATACCTGAGTCTCTGTGGAAGGACCCAACCCTGAAAAAACAGCGCTCTCCTGTGCACTACTCGTGTGCAAGCTCCACACCAGGGGAACAATGGTCCCAAAACCTCCAGCTCCTGCACCAACGGTGCTCAGTTCAGTCCTTTCCTGCAGGCTCCTGGGCCCCGCTCACAAAGCCACTCCCTCCACCAGGAACCGGGTGAGTGCTCACCAGCAAGCAAATCCGTTTGCTGGCTCCACTGGTTGTCCAGCTGCCCTCAGCCTCATGGAGTTGAGCAAAGAGAGTCCTCACTAATTTCTACTTCCAGCTATTGTAGAACTCCTCTACCCGGCAAAGTAACTCTGGGCTGGCGAGTGCAGTGTGGGGCCGGAGGGTCTCGCCCCCAACTGGAGAAGCCTCCCCACTCCTGAGGTGTCCCTCATGGGGTTCGCCCTTTCTCGTCTCCACCTCTCCTACCAGATTCGACGTGGCCTCCTCTTTAAGTCTTTCACTTAGAAGTTCTGTTCATCTAGTGTTCAGGGAACTTCTGAGGTTCAATATCTTATAAATTATTTGTAATTTTGGTGTGATCCTGGGAGGCAGTCGGCACAGCGTCTGTGCATTCTGCCATCTTACCGGAAGTTCCGAGTTAGTAACTTTTTAAGATCCCACAGATAAAGTGGGGGAGAATTCTGTGCTGCAAGTGGAAGGGGTATGCTGACGGATAACAAATTTTGTAGTAGGTTGAAAATTTCAAACTGAGAAATGCTATGACAGTGGACCAAATGAAAGGAATCAGTGTGACAGAGGAAAGGAGAAATAGAAACAAAATACTGGTCCTGCTAAAGCAAAACAAAACACATTATTCAGTGACTAAGACAATTAATAATGAAGTCTCCCTGGTATCAGTGGAGCAGATAAGTCACCCCAGGGTGGAACTCAAGCTCACTCAGGAAAGTGGACTCAGTGTTCTGAAGGCCAATCAAAGTGGAAGGTCATGGGACCAGGAGTTTCCTGTCCCCCCCCCCAATAAATGTCAAGCTCCTCCAAACTACATACATTATCTGCTGTTCTACTTCCTTTCCAGAGCCCATCCCTGCTGGATGCAACAATTTACTTAGGACAGGAAACAGTAATGTAGAAGGCAGGAGGTGGGCAGGAGCTGTAGTCATATTGGGTACTGGTAGTCATCCAAACATCCTGCTCTAGTTTAAAATAGCCCTTTACACACTGCTTCTGCCCTGACTTATATTTCTCCTACCCATTTTGGATCTCCTTTGTTTTAGGACAATCAACAACCTCCTTTCTGAAACATGAGGATGAGTTAGATGCTTCCTCCTCCTCTGTCTGATAGTATCTTTCATATACCTCTACTATAGCTATTAAATCTGTCTCCCAGATTGCCTATATGATTCCAAAGGATAGGGGCCATGCTCAACTAATCTTTAATTCCTCAGCAACTGCACAACTGGTTCAGAATCTAAATGCTAAGTATTTATAAATTCACATTTAATTTACAAGAATAATCAAATGCTACAAGTAAAAGAGAACGCTGAGGTCATCAAACTCAACACTCTCACTTTTAGATGAGAAAACAAGGGTTCATAATGGTGAAATGACTTACCCAAGTCATAGAGGAATGGAGGTGTTAAATTAGGATTTGTGTCTTTCAGTAGACTCAAGAACAATGTCTGGTACAGAGAAAACACTCAGCAAGTATTGGTCGGATGAAGTCCTTTCTTTAAATTCAAAAAGTTATTAACATATACCAGAATCTCAAATTGTAATATACTAGCAACCCCTAACTTAATCAGCAGTGCTTAAGTAGTCTTTATTAGTAAACAGGTAGAAGGAAGGAAAATATAGAGAACACAGGGTAGGGTCTTACTCATGTTACTCTCCGTTGAAGTCCTCAATTACTTTTCAAGACAGAGATGACATGCTCTTAGTTCCTTGAGGCAGTTTACTGTCCTCTACACAAACCAATTTTTATAGTTTTCACAGTCTCTTCCTATATGTGTGAGGACTGTATTTGCCAAGCAAAAAGATGGTCTTGGTGGTGGTGTTAAGAACCAATTATTTTTTCCTTAAATCCAGCCTGTTATTTTGTTCATATAATTTCTGTGTGACATTCTGCTTAGTTAGGGAGAAGGAACAGCCTGGAGTTAGAAAAGATGGGGTTTACTTCTGGCTCTGCTGCTCTTTGCAACAAGTGCTTCCTTTCAGCTCCCTCAGAATTAGCGCTCTCCTCTGTAAAGTGATGGTACCAAGGCAGAGAGGGGGCTGGCTGACCCCTTTATTTCAAACATTTTATGATTCTAAGTGCCAATCTTGAGGTAGCTTTCTACAAATGGTTTTAATGGATACAAATGAGAAATCAGTTTTTTTAAAAAGTGCTAGCTGGTAATTTAACAATTCACGGTACCAATTAAACACGTAGATATGTTGGTAAAGGGAACAAAGCAACCCGAGCATAAAATATGAACAAACATCTTATCTACCTTAGAGATGCTCACATCAAACATGTAGAGAAATATCTGACAATAAATGCAGCAAATCTATGGATGTACAAAGATCATGGGATAAAAAAGGAATAAAATTCTCTTTTAAGTAGGTCTGGAGGGTAGTGGTGCCTAAGAACCTTAATTCTTAAAAAACACCACAGATAATTCTGAAATACAGCCTGGTTGAAGATCATTTTGGGGAGTGATTTGGTAACTTCTGTGCTGCTTTTTAACAAATTTTCTCATGTTTTTAACGCTTTCATGTTTAGTAAATGATTATTGTAATGTGCACACCTTTTTTTGTACATGAAGAAAAGCACTGTATAGTTTATAATGCTGTTTGTTTCCCTGAGGCCATTTAACACTGGACTGAGCATGTAGTAGCTCTGAATGATTTTCAACGTGAGTGAAAAATGTCTGGCAGGAAAGGCAGGCTTTGAGAGAGATGAGGCAACCATGCTGTGTGGAGTCTTTCAACAAAAGAGCATAGCCCAGGCCAAGCTCATGGAGGTAGGGTGGTTCAGTGAAAACTGATGTGTAATTTAAAGCCAGCAGAGACCTCTGCAGACCCTGGCAACATTATTGATAGCTATATGCCCTCAGTATATTAATGCTCCTACACCCACATTTATAAAATACTGTATGCCTCATACTGCAGTCTGACAGTAAAGAGAAAAAGAACACAGAACAAAGACAAGACCTCACATAGATAGGCACTCAGTTAATGCTGATGTCCTTCCTCTGTCCCAAGAAAGACAGGTTACGGCCATTCTCAGGCAGATGGCATTTTCTGAGAAGAAACCCCCTCACCTGAAACATGGCAATTTCCTCCTCTCAGGACTCACACAGTCCTGGAAGGGCAGAGTTAGGGAAAAAGGAAAAACCATGAAAATCAGTCCACCTTGCAGGGCAGTCTAGTAGTCAGTCCAGCAAGACTGTAGAAATAGTTACTCTGCTCCTGTTACTAAGCTCTTTCAGCCAACCCTTCGCACACCCTCCTTAGGTACCCTCCTGTCTCCTCACACTGCACCTCCCTCACCTCTGTCCATTGGGCTTTGGATCAAACAGGCCAAGTCCCCCAACCCCCCCTCCCATACGGGTCCAAGGCTCTCTGCTCTCCTCGTAGCTCTAAGATGTGTCCATTTCTCAGGTTTTCCGATTTCTGCCCTCAGGTTCTAAGTTAGAGCAGTAAAGAGCTCTCAGGTCGGATGTGTCGCCTCTTGAGATGGATTTTTGATGCCCGCGCCGCCTTCCCCGACCTGACTCGTTTCTGGAGTGTAGGGGCTGAGATGCAACCTTTTAGTGAGGACAGTGCTGTGGGGACAGAAACCTCGGTCCCTCACGGGAACCCCTCTCGGTCATCTAACGTCTCCTCAAAGCCTCCTTGGAAGAAGGCCAGTCACCGGTGCGGAAAAGGCCAACTAACGAAGCCCCTAGGCCGGCCAAGGCCGGAGCTGTGCCGGCCAAGGCTGGAGCTGTGCCGGCCAAGCCTCGGCGGAGCCGGCCGACTCAGCGTTAGGGGCCGTGTAGTCTCAGGTGCCCGCAGCCCGGTCTTGCGGATGCAGCCACGACCGCTGCGTTCGGACACACGTGCGGCCCAGGACCGCAACTCTACCAGATCGCGCGCCCTCCCACCGCGGCCCCGCCAGGCTTTTGGGTTTCGGCGGCCGGGCGCCTGGCCCTCCCACAGCCCCGCCGCTGACGCCTCTCTGCGGGCGGCGCCAGCAGCCAGGCGCCTCTCACCTCCCCAGCGAATCCGACACCTGGAAACGCAGAATTCCGGACTGTGAACCGCGCCCGCGCCCGCGCCCGCGCCGAGGACTCCGAACTACAAGTCCCGGAAAGCTGCGGACGGATCACGCCCACTTCCTGTTCCCACCTCCAGTGCCGGTCCCGGCTACCAGCGACGCTACTCTCAAGGCGGTTTCTCAGCTGCAGGGTCTGCTGCTTTTCACTGTTGTTTGAGGTCAACAACTAGTTCATTCTCGTGATCTTCCCTGGGTTTTTGTGGTTATTACAAACGTGTAAGAAGTATTTTAGGAATACCCATGAAAGTGTTTTTCATTTTGTTAAAGTGCAACTGGGAGAAAAGAAGGTAAATATCACCTGTAATTTCGTCTTTACCTTTAAAAATAGTATTCTGAACCGAATATGTGCCACTGGGCATTTTCATTTTACCGCTGAAGTTCATTCATTTAGCAAACATTTGAGGGCCTATGATATTCCAGGAACTGTTAAAGACGCTTAAACAAAAATCACTTTGGATGTTAAATTTTAGTGGGGAAACAAGCAATAAATGTGTTACAACCTGTTATGTGTTATGGAAAAAGTAGAGCTGAGTCGGGAGGTTCACGGATGCTTGAATGGGGGTGTGTATGTTGGTGTGTGCTTTGCAATTTTAAATAGGGAATGTAGGAGCAAAGACTTTGAGGAGATGAGGATATCAGTCATGTGCCACTCAGCAGTCAGAACTCTTTCCAGAATTTTTTAATTATAGGAGGGAGGATTTTGGAGAAATGGGGCTATTCCATCTTGGCTGAAACCAGAAGTCCTTGTTTTAATTTTTCATTTATTCATATTCTTTCCCTTATGAATTTATACTTATTTTATTAGAGGAAGAATGCAATTCCAGGCCCATTGATGTTGGGCTTGGCAATGTCACTTGCTTTGTTTAATAGAATGTTGGTAGATGAAATACAAACAGATATTTTAAAAATGCTTGTGAATTGGCCTTGTTCAGTTGCACTTCTGCTATTGCCATGAGAAGAACATGATCTGGGCAGTCTACTCGCTCCAGAAAAATAAGAGACATGTGGAGCAGACCTGAACCCAACTGTGGCCTGAGGCCAAGCTTAACTATACTCAGCCTAGATCATCCAGACCCCAGCTGGCTTGTGGATTCATGAGCATGAAACAAATTATTTTTGTTGTAAGTCACCATATTTTGGGATATTTCATTATATAACAAACACTATTGTGAAAAGAGCTGACTGGTACATTGTTGCACCCTATTTAACAAACTTACCTTGACATATTTAGTCACACACCATACTGTCCCCATATGCACGCATCCTCCACAAATACACACTTCCCCCCCTCCCCAAGATTTTATTGGGGATTTGGGGGAGGGGAACAGTGCTGGGGAATGGGGAAGGGGAACAGACAAGTTGCTGTCCTTTTGTTCTTCAGTCTAGTTGTGGAGGACCATGTTGGTATTATTATTATTATTTTTTAAAGATTTTTATTGGGGAATTGGGGGATGGGAACAGTGCTAGGGAATTGGGGGAAGGGGAACAGACAAGTTGCTGTGGTTTTGTTCCTCAGTCTAGTTGTGGAGGACGTCGCTTCACTGGCCCATGTTGGCACCATCATTGCACTCTTCCCAGGCGAAGCAGATCAGTCGCCGGCTTCTGGATGGCCGCTCACTGTGGCTGCTGGCCGCTCACGCTGGCTGCTGGCTACACACGGTAGCCCATGGCAACCCACTGCCACAGGGGCTGCAGCCTACGCCGTCGCTGGCGACTCCCGGCAGCCCAGCTCCAGGTTGAGCTGTTGTTCAGCATCTTAGCTGTGGAGGGCAGTGTCACTGGCCCTCATATGTGGGATCCGAACCGGGGCCCTCTGGCATCCCAAGCCAGTTATTAACCATCGCGCCACTCGGCCGGCCCCCATGTTGGTATTATCATTGCGCTCTTCCCGGCTGAGGCAGTCGCTCACTGGCCATTGGATGGCCACTCACAGTGGCTCACGGCAGCTCACGCTGGCTGTCAGCCACTCACGGTAGTTTATGGCAGCCCCACTGCAGCCTACGCCTATGCCATAGACTCACAGCAGCTCCAAGTCTAGCTGTTCACCATCCTAGTTGTAGAGGGCGCAGCATCACTGGCCCTCATGTGGGATCCGAACCGGGGCTCTGCTGCTCAGAGCTGGTGTCCCAAGCCAACTCTTAACCAACGCGCCACTCAGCCGGCCCCATACACACTTTATTATACCTCATACTTGCCCTCTTGCGCATCTACTATACGCACCGTACTCTCTGGTCTCAGGCTCTGTTTCTCACACTCACGTCTCACTCAGTAGACCCATACACAGTTGGCTCTCACACACACATCCTATAGCGACACATACCTGTCTTAACTATTATCAGTTATACACAGACGTGGACTCCTCTGTATTGGCGTGTTCATTATATGCTGTGCCCACTCCATGAGGGGATCACCAGGGATCACACTGGAGTTATGCAAATGAGTGGTACAAACCCAGATTCCATAAGGAAGCATCATTATTAAGCCCAGGAAGTCTGCGAGGAGAGGGACAGTACACAGAATTAGAAACAACTGCTATGAAAAGCTAAGGGTCCTGGGATCATGGTAAAGAAAGCAAGCAGCTGGCCTGAATAATATGGGGCCGGGGCCAAGTGGGAGGTTTGGTAGATGAAACAATCAGAAGATGCCACGATTTCAGCAGTCTTTGGCTATGGCAGGCAGGTGCATGTCAGGCTGAATTGTTCCATGATGAACATGAAACTGCCCTGTGCTGCCTGAAGACTCTCATGTATGACCTCAGAACCCAGCCCAGGGGCAAGAAGTCAGGGTGAGAGGCGGGGCACTTTGCTGCTCAGGGTGGACTAATCACCCTTGCTGCTGGGTAGGCCCTTTGGGGCTATGTCTGAAGGAGCTCACAATATGGCAAGTAGCCTTTAACCAAAATAGTGGGACTGAGGTTCATAGGAGAGGTTTATATCTGCTTTCCAAGGCACTGATCTGCTGTATGGATCTAACAGTGTTTTCTCTTTTCAGCCCTATCCTAATCTTCAGTCCTGTCCCCTTCCCCATACAGCACTCATTTGCCATCTCTCCTCAGCTGATCCCAACCCTGAGCCCAGAGAAGGGCAGTAGTGGTGCTGCCTCCTGAGACCATGGAGGCCTGGCCAAGCCCTCCCCATCCGGGAAGCTCTTCATGTTGCCAGCGCCAGTGCTCTGAGAGGAAGCCTGGGAGGCCTTCACTTAGGATCTACATCTTCTGCCTGTTGAGGTCTTGGGGCCTGGAGGAGCACTGGTACGGGAGCACCTGGGTCTTTAGGCCTCAGCTGGGGAGACCTTGGGAGATAGATAAAAGGACTTCCATTGAATGATTTCCTCCTGGGTGCTCAGCACTGAGCTCAGGGCCTAGTGTTCATCCTTGTCTGTTAACGGTGCTGTGGAGTAAGGGTTATTCCTCACGATTCTTAAAGTGAAGGCACAGAAGATAAGGGAAACAGAGGCCGTGACTTGCCCAAGATCCTGCTGCTGGTAAATATCAGCAGTTTGGATACTGAATTGGGAGCACCTTCCCTCTCACACATTCATCTGGCACTTCATCTTCTGATCACAAATGGAACAGGCCACGAGGAAAGGAGCTTCTGCTGAATCCCTCGGGCGCCACCTCCCAGTGCAGCCTGCTGGGGGATCCCTCCAACACAAAACACACCAGGCCAAGCAGGGTGGCGGCAGATGCAGGTCCAGCCATGCTAGATTCCTAGGAACGCTGAAGAAATCATAGTAGGAACTGGAAAAGGGAGGCTGGGTCCCCATCTGGATTTGAGCCCTTTTATACCCGAGCTGGTTCCTGGCTGGAGCAGGGGAACACAGTGCTCCCCTCTTCCATTTCCCTGAGAGTTCTAACAATGGCTCCAGTTCTATTTCCCAACAGTTCCCAGTATGTCCTCAAATGCCATGAAGCCATGGGAATGGACAGGGTGATAAAGGGGTCTCATTCAGCCTTCTTCACTTTTCAGAGAATTGAGGCCCAGAGGAAAGAATAGAATTGTTCAGGTGTGCACAGGCAAGCAGGGAGGAGTGAAGAGGGAAGGAAGTGTTGCCCAGTGATGAAAGGCTTTTGGTACCACCCAAACCGGTGGAGGCAGACAGCCTCTGGGCTATAGAAACTCATCATTCTAATGCATGGGCTGCTGACTGCCAGTCAGCGTCACCCTGCACTCACTCATTCAAAGGCACTCATTGAGTATATTTTGAGTATCTTGTCACACAAAGTGCTGTTTCTCCTCGGGGCTCCACCAGTGTTAGTAGTTTCTGGAATTATGCATCCCAGCTCCTCCCCGTCAGCACTCTTCTACTGGGTGTTGTCACTGCACTCCCCCACCTTCCTTCAAACTCTCTGTGTGGACTTTCTCAAAGATGTTGAGCACAGACAAGTAGGGACACTACTGAGTGGATAACAGCTTAAGGGGCCTGCCCCAATCCAAGGTTAAATGTATTTTCATCGGGTAACCCTGCTGAAGATCTAGAAATCTTTAAACTAAAAAATTGTGGCTTTTTAGATGTTGTATTAAGATAATGGTAATGTAAAAAAAAAAAACCTGTATGGGGTGAGGAGGGTTGCCAGATTTAACAAATGAAAATACAGGATGCCCAGCTACATTTGAATTTCAGATAAACAATGAATAATTTTTTAGAAAATGTGTGTCCCCTACAATGATTGTCTGAAATTCAAATGTCACACTGGGCATCTGGTAATTTATCTGGCAACCCTAGAAGAGGGGCATGCTTCCAAGGGCTCCTTGAAAGATGCTAAGGGGTAACTAACTGCTAACTAAAGAGATGTGCTAAGCCCTGCCTTCACCTCAGTCACTGACCACAGAGAAAGAGGACACAAAGACCAGCTGCCCAAAGCCTTTCACTACAGAAGGTCCTAAGCAGCCCCCTTGGCTCACCTTCTCCTCTGTCCTCTGTCTTGCCTTCGTCTTCAGTGAAATCTCACATCTTCTCCATTTAAGAAGGCTACACAGAGCTCAAGGCAAGGGCTGTGAAGTGAGATAACCTAGGTTTAAATACAGGTTCTGCCACCAGAAAACTGGCACTGTGAGCAGGTTTACCAGTGTCATTAAGCACTGATTCCTCCTTTGTAAAACGAGGCTGACAGTACCTGCTCCTTCAGGTTGCTGTGAGGAGGACGTGAAATAACGTACGAATGGTGCTTACCACAGTGCCTGGCGGTAAAGTTAGCTGACATCGTTCTCATCATTGACCTTCAGGTGGCGGTCACCAGCTCCAAGGGTGTCTGCCCTGGTGCCTGCTGTCTGTGACGTCTCTTTCCCTGAATCTGACTTTTCATTTATTTTATCTCAGTTAATTCTCACAACAATCCTGGGAGGTAGGCAGCAGAAATTGTTGACTGTTGCAGATAAACAGACTGAGGATATGTTATTTAGCCTCTCTAAATTTTCCTCATCTGTTAAAAAAATAATGGGGAGACAGCAGCAGTTTTTGAATCTCCTCAAATCACTCATAAAAATAGACCAAGTTACTAGGATAGCAGGAGAAACATCCTGCTTGACAACATCTTCAACACCAGGGTCAGGATATCCCCCAAATTCCAAATGGGTGGGGTCAAACCACCCCTAGGCTTCAGCAGCTGTGCCTGGGTCCTGGAATCCAGAACACAGAAACTGCCAACTAATAGCCCCCCAAAAAGAGAGCCCTACTCTAAGTGGATTTATCAGCAAGAAGCTGATAATACCATTGAACCTGGGCTAAGTTTCTACAGGCTCCTGCATAAGCTCCAGTTTATAGGCAAAGCCAGAAGACAGCAGGAAACTGAAGAAGCCAGGGCTCTTTGGAGAAATGGCTGATTCCTGGCAAAGCATAGTGTGATCCTGAGACAGTTTGTCTGCCAGAGAGCAAGGAAGCACCAAAGACTATTATGTCTTAAGAACCCAGGGCCAACTTGAAGGGCTCCCCTATTGCATTCAAACAAACCAGGTGTAAAAGAAATATTTGAGGCACTTTGGGAGATTTGAATATGGACTGAATATTAGATATTAATGAATTGACCAATCAAATGGGAATAAGCAAAGGGTACGTATTCAGAGCTTGCAATGGCAAGAAAGTCAACTGCCATCACTTGCATTTTGGCAGAGACACAAAAGCAGACAGAGAAAGCTTGATAGTAGAAAAAAGGGAAAGCTTCAGGTGTGCCCTGAGTGGAGGCTGTTGGCAGGGCAAGCAATGCCGCTAATTGGAAGAGGGCATCCTAAATGATTGTGAGGGGATTATATTTGGCTTTCTCTTGGGGGGGGGTCCAAAACTGGAAATGAGAACAAAAGTAGGGATGCTGTCAGTTATTAAGCAAGACCTGACTGTTGGGGGCAGTTGGTACAGGAGTTACTGTTTAGTGTCCTGGGATGGTTGCTAGAGATGCTCGTCTGAATTCCCACAAGTCTGACTTATAGCAGGCTGGCTTCCTGGGCTGGTTACTGTAGATCATGGGTTGGTTTTCTGGGCTGATAGTTACAGATTGTTTTCATATATGGTCTTGCTATTGCCCACTTTCATACTCAGTCTCTCAAACTATTTATTTTTAAAAGCATGACAATGATACAACGTAAAAAATATGATAAAGTGCCCTTAGGTAAGATTTATACAGTAATCCCCCCATCTATGATTTACCCTCCATCTGCAATTTTGCTTTCCATGGTTTCAGTTACCTGTGGTCAACAACTGTCTGAAAATATTAAGTGGAAAATTCAAGAAATAATTCATGTTTTAAATTGTATGCCATTCTGAGTAGTGTGATGAAATCTTGTGCCATTCTGCTTCATCCCACTTGGGACACATGCGCATATATCCTGTTGTCCAGCGTTTCCACGTTGTCTACACTCCCCGCCTGTTATCACTTAGCAGCTGTCTCAGTTATCAGGTCAGCTGTCTCGGTATCAGTGTGCTTGTGTTCAAGTAACACTTATTTTACTTAATAATGGCCCAAAGCACAAGGGTAGTGATCTGGCAATTTGGATATGCCAAGGAGAAGCTGTAAAGTGCTTTCTTTAAATGAAAAGGTGTGTATGTATAGGAAAAACAGTGTGTATAGGGTTTGGTACTATCCTTGAATTCAGGTATCCACTGAGAGTTGTGGAACGTATCCCCCAAGGATGGCGGGGAGGGCAGCTACTGTACCTGATTATTTATAGACTAAATAATCTAGGAAACAAAAGGGGAGGGGAGATTGATAGATAAAAGAAAATTGGCACAATCTTGATATTTTTGAATCTGAGTAATGGATACATTGAGGTTCATTATATTATTCTATGTTGTGTATATTTTGAAATTTCCATAACAAAACGTTTTTGCTATTGGGGATACTAATAGTACCTATCGCATAGGGTTGCTTTGAGGATTAAATGAGATAATTCAAATAAAAGGCTTAATACAGGGCTTAGCATAAGATGAGTCATAGTTTAGGTTTTCTGAGCAATTTTATGGCATTATAGCATGATTATATGGAATATTATGTAAAATTGTACTACAAAGGCTGTTTTGGAAGCTGATTTTTTTCACTCAACAATATTTTGTCAACACATTTATGTAACTTATACCTATTATCTGCATTGATATTTGTAATGGCTGCCTAGTATTCTGTCATATGGATTTACTATAATTTATTTAACCAATCCCATCTTAATAGTGAGTGTTGAACTTAATCTTAGCTCCGAGCTTCTGGAAAATAACAACACAGACTAAGAAATCTCCCAGATTTTGTTTTCTGAAATCTCCCCACCCTTTTGTGTTTCAGAAAATGGCTGACGGCAGAAAACCACACTTCCCAGGTATCTTAGATATGATCCACCTCCACTCTTCCTACTATTGTGTTGTTGGAAAAGTCATGATGCATTTTTGCAACAAAAAACATAGAAAAAATACGTCATGACTTTTCTGACAACTCAATATTTTCTTACTTGCCTTTCTAAAGCCCCAGAGCCCCTTTCTTTCTTTTCTTTGAGACATTCATCATTAATGAATATTCTCCCTACTGCAATAGCCTGAATAAAACCAGCTCCTTAATTGTCCGGTGCATTTTGTCTTTCACAGTACACATACTGTTTTTTATTTTTCATTTTTATATACAGCACTACAATAAACATTCTCCCACATGCACCTTTGGATACTTGATTATCTCCTTAGAGCCAACTCCCCAAAGTGAAATCACTGTGTCACAAGATATGTTTACAATATGCTCTTATCTTCTTTCCTCCAGACCCCTCACTTAATTAAAGTTTTCACTATCCCAGACACCCCAGAGTGATGTTTTGAGAAACAAGGCTGGTCATGGCTCATGATGTGTAAAACCTTCAGAGACTTCCCGTTGCCTATCGAGAAAGGTAAAATAATAGTAATCATTACTATCACATCCACATTTACAAGCCCAGTTTAGACTCAGACTCCATGATTTCTTGATGGTGGATGTCTTAGTCTGCTTGGGCTGTTATAACAAAATACCATAGACTGGGTGGCTTAAACAACAGACTTTAATTTCGCACATTTCTGGAGGCTGAGAAGTCCAAGATAAAGGTGCTGGCAGATTCACTGTCTGGTAAGGGGTCTCTTACTGGCTTGTAGACAGCTGCGTTCTGGCTGTGACTTCACATGATGGAGAGAGACAGAGCAAGCTCTCTTGTATCTTTTTTTTAACTAAGGGCAGTAATCCCATCATGAGGGTGCCACCCTCATGACCTCATCTAAACCTCTTCAAATGCCATTACATTGGGAGTTAGAGTTTCAACATATGAATTGGGGGTAGGAGGGGTGATACAAACATTCAGTCCACAACAGTGGGTTTACTGACCATGTTTTTGGCTACATGGCCTCCTATTTCAGATCACTCTAGACCACTGACTTACTTCCCTAGCATGCCCGGCTCCCGACCTTCACTCTCCCTCTTGAGCCCTTCTCCCATCTTGGCTGGGAGACAGGTCACACAGCTGAGGAATGAACAAGACCAGTGCAAAGGAGATGCTCAGGGAACTTGGTCAGCAGTTCCTCAACTTGGTCTGTGAGGAACATGCTTTTTCATTGCTTGAAATCAAAACAGGAGTACTTAGAAACCAACCAACCAACCAACCAACCAACCAACCATAAACAGCTGCCCCAAAATAACATAAAACATGTCTGGCAGATCCTCATCAATTTGTAGCAAAGGGTGCCAATCTTGGCTGCACATTGGAATCATTTGGGATGCCAAGACCACATTCAGAGCATTAAATTCAGAATCTCTGGACCTGAGACGCAGGCACCATCACTTTTCGAAGCTCCCCAAGTGATACCAATGTGCACATGGACGGGATGGAGACCCTGACGCAGGACTGTATCCCAGACTACATTTCCCAAAGGCTTCCGTGATCACGTCCGTTTCCGGCCCTGCCCACCTCTGCTTGAGTGGGGCAAGCGCCGCTTGCTCCGGCGTCTGGGCTGCTGGGACTTATTGAAAGTAAGGGTCTCGGTGCTCGCGGCCCAACCCCCGCGGCTTGGTCCGGGAACAGCCGCTGCCCAGCTGGGGCACTGAGACCTGGCACGCCCCTCCTTTCCCCGGGAGTCAGGGCAACAAAGGGCCGGTTAGGAGGGCACTGGCAGATGTGGCCCCGCCCACGGAAGCCGAGCGGTGTTGAGTGACCCCCTGAGTCTGGGGCATCCCGGGAAGCTTCAAGGCTTGTGCTGAGGCTCAGAGATCCAGTCGCCCACGAAGCTTAACACTCCGATTGGTAAGGTGCCGGACTGAGTCACAGCCAGAGTTTGGCGTGGAGCTTGCTTCGAGGCCCGGCTCCAGGTAGCATGTTCGATCATGGCCTTTCTGACCTTACACACCTGCACCTGTCTACCTTTGTTGGGAGTAGGAAGGTGGTAGACTGATCGCGCCCAGCTTACGGAGAGCAAATTCTAGGTAGTGTAGAACGTGGAGGGAATTCCTCATGTTTCCTTTCTTCTTTCCTTGGTTTACTCAGGATCTTTGCTTTTCCCTGGGAGAACAGTTCAGGAAACAGATGGCTCCAAGACTTGTATCAAGAGCCCAGATACAGGCCAGTTTTTTCCCTTATCCTGAGAATTCACCATCGTTTCAAAGTAAAGTTAGGTTTATGCCTCTTGCCTGGAAGATGCTTTGCTAGGTGTAGGGACCAAGCTGCCCTAGCCAGTCCTGGATGGGTGCAGCTCTGCAGAGAAGGGCCGCCTTTCCCCACTGTCATTCCTTTGTGTCCTTTCTACCGGTTATAGTCATTCCCCAAATAGATTATTGCTATCCATGTTTTCCAGAGTGCTAGAAACTGAAAAAATACTTAATAGGTATGGGCATAGTTGTTGCCTCAAAGGCATTGTGCTGTCTCACAGAAGATGAAAAAGATTTACCCTATAAAGACACAGCTAAAGTATCAGCGAATGACAACCATAACACAGCAGTGGCAGCACTCTCTTGACCTTCAGGGGTCAGAGGAGGCTTCAGGGTGGGTTGATGGTGGTGGTGATCATTCTAATTCTTCTTGAAGAATAAATGAAATTTGCCTAATTGTGGAGGATGTGGTGAGTTTGGGAAGGCGTTGCAACATGAGTGAAGACATTACATCTGAACCATGAGCAAATTGTCCCAGAGAAAGTTGGAAACATTCAGAGTTTAGAATGCCAGCCTGGAGTTTGCCCTTATCCTGGAGAAAACTGGGTGTTGACAGATTTTGAGGAGTGACTGAGAGTAATCAGCATTTTGAAAGGAAGTAATCAATATTTGAATATTTATATACAAACTAAGAGTTACAGAAAAAATTTTAAATTAAAGATTACCCACATGTCTACCATGCTAACAAGTCAAATTATTTCATTTGAAACACCTTTGCATATGCGGATTTAGGCCTACTCATTTTTTCCTTTTAATATGTCATAACCGTTTCTTCCAATTAGCTCCATAGCCTCATTACCACTTGTTATCATTGCTTTTTATACTACAGTATAAAAACAGTCCTGTGACCTTGAGTAAGGTCTTTCAAGTCTCCGAGCCTTAGTGTCCTTAGCTCTAAAATAGATACAATAATACTTTATACATTTGTGGTGGAAATTCAGAGAGATTGTGTATATCTTAGGGCTTAGCACTGTGCCTGGTACTGATTAAGTTGCTAGTGCTATGAAAAACAATTAAAAATATTTTTTAATATTATACCCCAGAATAAGATGATAGACCCCATAAATTCGAGGAGAAAGCCAATATCATTGTGAATGTCTTTCAGAGTTTCTATTAATTTGTTGATTGACAAATCCTTGAATCCTTCCATGGCCAGGCCGCGTTGTAGGCTGGGGAGACAACAGTGACCCAAGTGGTCCCTGAGGACACTGACAATAAATTGAAACCTCTCCTGCTAGGTAGGGAGAAATCCTGTGAAGAAAAATAAAGTGGATAAGGGGATAGAGAGTAGTAGAAGGTAGGAGAAGAGAAAAGAGAAGACCATTTTGATGAGCTGACATTTAAGCAAAGACCAAGAAAGTGATGGATGAGCTAATGCCAGGCCTGTAGGAGGGAGCATGATAGGCATGCTGGCAGAGCACGAGGGCGGCAGTGTGGCAGAGTGAGGGGTTACCACCTTCCCTCACCCCTTGCTGGGTTTTCCAGCTTATTATCTTTTAATTCTTTGTTTCCATGAAACGAGTCTGCTCTCTGTGTCTGTCATATACTTTCCCTCGATGCTCCCACTTCCCTCCCTGTAAACCATCTGAGCTCTCAGAAACTGACCTTGAATGTCTTGCTTCCCTTCTCCAGCAAGGCCTGCCTGGCTCTCTGCCTGGGGCCAGGGTGTAAACGGTTCCTGGATGAGCAGCATGGGGTTTGATTTTGCAGGGATCACTGACTTTAACCAGATTGAATGGAGACCCCAGGATGCTGCTCAGTGGGACCTGCAGAGTGTGATGCTGGGAAACTGGGAATCTGTTGTCCGAGGTAAGGATGTCTTTCTCTTTGACTCAGAATTGTTCTGCTGGGCAACTCTTCATTTCACAGCGTAAATGATTTGGGGTATTCAGAAATCTTAAATGAGTTTTGTTGGGCTTAGAGGCTGGAGTCTGTGTTCCTTCTACCCCTCAGAAAGGTCAGAGCTGTATAGTGTAAGATGGGCAGTTTTGTATGCAGCCGAGCCCAGCTCTCTAAATTTTCCGTGTCAGGATTCATCTGCCATCAACAGTAAGTAGGAGCTTGTCATCCTCAAAAAGGCCCAGTTTTCTAACTAACTTCCCCTCCTGCACATCTGTAACCCTTGATACCAGCCACTTGGCCTCTGACATATCCATGTTCCTTGTAGACCATGTGAGATTGCAGTCAGGGGGGACTCCCTGTGCACATAACCACACTTACATTCCTTTTCTTTCTCTGACAGAGCTTCTCTCCTCCAAACCCGAAGTAATCACCCAGTTGGAGCAAGGGGCAGAGGCGTGGATGGAGGTACAAGAAGTGCCATCATGTACTTACCTGTGCAGGTAAGTGGGGCGGGAACCATTTCAAGCAGCAGCTCAGCACCGCAGCTAATTTTAGAATGCCTGTGTCTGCAGAGGGCTGGGGCACTTTACATTAGTTTACTCTTTGTCATCCTCATGCTAAATGACTTGGCCCTTTTCACTTCATTCTTTCCACTCCTGTGGCGAGCTGCTCCCTTCATGAGGGCCTCAGGCCCATGACTTCCTGCCTTGAAATCCTCAGTCTCTTTTGTGTTGTTTCCTTCTCCATTTTCAGGCACTTGTCAGGCTCTCCTTTATTTGTTTCTACCTTCTGTTCATTCTCAGTTCCTTCCAAACTCTCTCATGGTTGGCTTGTTCAGTGACTGTATAACCTTTCTAGTTATTGTTAATATTCATATCCCTGATTAGATAGCAGCAGTGGCAGACTCCAAGTATAAGCATAGTTTCCTAACTCAGATAATTACGATTCTGAGCAAACAAATTGATAGGGAAGCATTTTCTTCCCTTTTCTCCTGGGTCTTTTATTTCTCTTCTCTGTTATCCGTTGCTCCTGGTGCTCATTTTTTCTATGTAGACTTTGCATAAATTTCTGTATGTCACGGTCTCTGTTTCATAATTTATTTCTGAATCTTCAAACATGGCTGTTTCTCTCATCTAAAATATTTATGCTGTCAGTATTCCTACCTTTAAAGCTAATTCTATTTTTGTCTATATCATCTTCAGGGAAACTTTTATAACTGTATTTCATGGAAAATCCAGTGACACATAATCTTACTTAACGTACTTTTTTTTCATAATGCTTTTCAGTAGTTCTTTTTGTTTTTACTGTGTTTAACTTTTTCCCCTTCTAAATTCTTGTGTAGATTCTTTATAGAGTGACAGTAGTAACTGAGTCTTCCGTATTCTTTGTTCTTTCTGTTTAGTTTTGGTATTTTTTGAAATAGGATGTTAAAATTTAGATATAGTAAAAACTAGCAGTGTTTCCTCTGATACTTGTTCTGTTTAGAGTTCTAATAATTCTTTATACAGAGCTTTCACAAGCATTCAGTATTTTAAGTTTTCCCCCTTTATTGCATACTTGTTAGTTTTTAGAAATGCATATAGTGCAAAATTCAGATGGTTCAAATGATATGCAGCTTCCTTCACATACCTCCTTTCCTATCACCCAGTTTCCCTCCCAGAGGCATCCTTGTATGTTTCTTGTGGAAATTTCTAGACATAATGTATGCTTTACAAGTGTATACATTTTTTTTTAAAGCACATGGTAGTACAGTATTCGGTATCTTGCTTTTGTCACTTATATCTTGGAAATCATTTCATTTAGGTACATTATTTAAAGCCACTGTTTTTCCCTTTAATGCCTACATAATGTTCTGTTTTATGGATATATTGTAATTTACATAATCAGTTCCCTATTAATGGACATAATAAGTATGAACAATGTTGCAGTGATTATCTTCATATCAAATCTCTCAAGTACAAGTAAATCTATAGGATAAATTACCAATATCCCTAGAGATTATATACATTTGTATTGCTAATGACAATGAATGAGGCCAGTCTGTCAACACTGTCATTGACAATCTGCTATTTAAAAGTTTTTATTTTACTGTAATTTTGATTTGCATTTCTTTTTTCAGAGGTGTAGTTGAACTTTTTTTTTTTTTTAAAGATTTTATTGGGGAATTGCAGGAGGGAAACAGTGCTGGGGAATCTGGGGAAGGGGAATAGACAAGTTGCTGTTGTTTTGTTCTTCAGTCTAGTTGTGGAGGATGTTGCTTCACTGGCCCAAGTTGGCACCATCATTGTGCTCTTCCCGGGCAAGGCAGATCAGTAGCTGGCCTCTGGATGGCTGCTCATGGCAGCTACGGGCCGCTCATGCTGGCTGCTGACTACACACAGTAGCCCATGGCAACCCACTGCCACAGGGGCTGCAGCCTAGGCCTTCGCAGGTGACTCACGGCAGCCCAGCTCCAGGTTGAGCTGTTGTTCAGCATCTTAGCTGTAGAGGGCAGTGTCACTGGCCCTCATATGTGGGATCCGA